TGAATGACAGTTGGGTGCAGGAAGAAATAAAAGAGGAAATCATTAACTTCCTTGAGCACAACAATGAAGACACAAGCTACCAAAACCTGTGGGATACTGCAAAAGCAGTTGTGAGAGGAAAATTTATTGCTGTAGATGCCTACATTCGAAAAACAGCACATCAACAAACTGACAAGCCATCTTCGGGAATTGGCAAAAGAAGAACAATCTAAGCCTAAACCCAGCAGAAGAAAAGAAATATCCAAAATTAAATCAGATCAATGAAATTGAAAACAAAAGAATCATTCAGAAAATTAATGAAACAAGGAGGGTTTTTTTTTTTTTTGAAAAAATAAATAGATAAACCTTTGGCCAGACTAACTAGAAATAGAAAAGTAAAATCTCTAGTAACCTCAATCAGAAATGATAAAGGGGGCTCGGTGCCTGTGGCTCAGGTGGCTAAGGTGCCAGCCACATACACCTAAGGTGGCGGGTTCGAATCCCCAGCCCGGACCCGCCAAACAACAATGATGACTGCAACCAAAAACAGGCCGGGCGTTGTGGTGGGTGCCTGTGGTCCCAGCTACTTAGGAGGCGGAGGCAGGAGACTTGCTTGAGCACAGAGTTGGAGGTTGCTGTGAGCTGTGAGGCCACGGCACTCTACCCAGGGTAACAGCTTGAGGCTCTGTCTCAAAAAAAAAAAAAATGTATAAAGGGGAAATAACAACTGATGCCCCAGAGATACAAGAGATCATCTCCAAATACTACCAGAAACTCTATGCCCAGAAATTTGACAATGTGAAGGAATCACATCCTCTCCGTAGACTTAGCCAGGAAGAAATAGAGCTCCTGAACAGACCAATTTCAAGCACTAAGATTAAAGAAACAATAAAAAAGTCTTCCAACCAAAAAATGCCCTGGTCCGGATGCCTTCACACCAGAATTCTATCAAGCCTTCACGGAAGAGCTTATTCCCATACTACAGAAATTATTCCAAAAAATTGAGGAGGAAGGAATCTTCCCCAACACATTCTACAAAGCGGACATAACCCTGATACCAAAACCAGGAAAAGACCCAACTAAAAAGAATTTCAGACCAATTTCACTAAAGAATGTAGATGCAAAAATTCTCAACAAAATCCTAGCCAATAGATTATAGCTTATCATCAAAAAAGTCATACATCATGATCAAGTAGATTTCATCCCAGGGATGAAAGGCTGGTTTAATGGATATTAAACTTGGTATGGATACGCAAGTCCATAAACATTATCCACCATATTAACAGAAGCAAAAACAAAGACCATGTGATCCTCTCAATAGATGGAGAAAAAATATTCGGTAAAATCCAGCATCCTTTTCTAATTAGAACACTGAAGTGTATGGGTATATGTGGCACATTTCTTAAACTGATCGAAGCTATCTATGACAAACCCATAGCTAATATTTTACTGAATAGAGTAAAACTGAAAACTTTTCCTCTTAGAACTAGAACTAGCCAAGGTTGTCCTCTGTCACCATTACTATTCAACATAGTGCTGGAAGTTCTAGCCAATACAATTAGGCAAGACAAGGAGATAAAGGGCATCCAAATGGGAGCAGAAGAGATCAAACTCTCCCTCTTTGCTGATGGTATGATCTTAGAGAACCCCAAAGACTCAACCACAAGACTCCTGGAAGTCATCAAAAAATACAATAATGTCTCAGAATATAAAATCAGTGTCCACAAGTCAGTAGCCTTTGCATATGGCAATAACAGTCAAGATGAGAGGCTAAGGGCACAACTCCTTTCACCATAGCTTCAAAGAAAATTAAATACCTAGGAATATACCTAACAAAAGAAGGGAAGGACCTCTATAAAGAAAATTATGAAACCCTAAGAAAGGAAATAGCAGAGGATTTTAACAAATGGAAGAACATAACCATGCTCATGGCTGGGAAGAATCAACATTGTTAAAATGTCTATACTTCCCAAAGTAATCTACCGATTTAATGCCTTCCCTATTAAAATACCAACATTGTACTTTCAAGATTTGGAAAAAATGATTCTGCGTTTTGTATGGAACCAAAAAAAAACCCCGTATAGCTAAGGCAATTCTTAGTAATAAAAACAAAGCTGGGGGCATCATCATACCAGATACTAGGCTGTACTACAAAGCCATAGTGGTCAAGACAGCATGGTACTGGCATAAAAATAGAGACATGGACATTTGGAATTGAATAGAAAACCAGGAAATGAAAGTAACATCTTACCACCACCTCATCTTTGATAAACCAAACAAGAACATACCTTTGGGGAAAGACCCCATATTCAATAAATGGTGGTGGGAGAACTGTAAAAGACTGTAAAAGACACATGGAAAAGACTGAAACTGGATCCACACCTTTCTTCACTCACAAAAATTGATTCAAGATGGATAAAGGACTTAAATTTAAGGCATGAAACTATAAAAATCCTCAAAGCATAGGAAAAACACTGGAAGATATTGGCCTTGATAAAGACTTCATGAAGAAGACTGCTGTGGCAATTGCAACAACAAAAATAAACAAATGAGACTTAATTAAACTGAAAAGCTTCTTTATAGCTAAGGCGACAACAACCAAAGCAAATAGACAGCCTATACAGTGGGAAAGGATATTTGCATATTTTGAATCAGACAAAAGCTTAATAACTAGGATATTTAGAGAACTCAAATTAATCCACATGAAAAAAGCCAACAATCCCATAAATCCATGGGTAATAGACATGAACCGAAACTTCTCTAAAGAAGACAGATGAATGGCTAACAAACATATGAAAAAATGCTCATCATTCCTAATTATTAGAGAAATACAAATCAAAACCACCCTGAGATACCATCTAACCCCGGTGAGAATGGCCCACATCACAAAATCTCAAAACTGCAGATGCTTGTGTGGATGTGGAGAAAAGGGAACACTTTTACACTGCTGGTGGGACTGCAAACTAATAGAACCTTTTTGGAAGGAGGTATGGAGAAACCTCAAAGAACTCAAGCTAGACCTCCCATTTGATCCTGCAGTCCCATTACTGGGCATCTACCCAGAAGGAAAAAAATCCTTTTATCATAAGGACATTTTCACTAGACTGTTTATTGCAGCTCAATTTACAATCGCCAAATGTGGAAACAGCCTAAATGCCCACCAACCCAGGAATGGATTAACAAGCTACTCAGCCATTTTTAAAAAATAGAGACTTTACATCATTTATATTAACTGGATGGAAATGGAACACATTATTTTTAGTAAAGCATCACAAGAATGGAGAAGCATGAATCCTATGTACTCAAGTTTGATATGAGGACAATTAATGACACGGTAGGAGTAGGGGGAAGGGGAGAGCAGAGAGAGAAGGGAGGGAGGGATGGGGGAAAGGAAGAGCAGAGAAAGAGAAGGAGGGAGGGGGGTGGAGTCTTGGTGTGTGCCACACGTTTTGGGGGCAAGACACAATTGTAAGAGGGACTCTACCTAACAAATGCAATCAATGTAACCTGGTTTCTTGTACCTTCAATGAATCCCCAACAATAAAAAAAATAATAATGATAGCCAGGTGTTATGGCCAAATGCCTATAGTCCCAACTACTTGGGAGGCTGAGGTAAGGGGATTGCTTGGGTCCAGGAGTTTGAAGTTGCTGTGAACTCTGATGCCACAGCTGAAGGTGACAGAGTGAGGCTCTGTCTCAAAAATAAATACATTCCATTTATTTATTAGTACATTGTTTTTAATTTTGGTTATTGTATTTTTTTTAGTTCTTTTTTGGGGGAGGGGACAGAGTTACACTTTGTTACCTTTGGTAGAGCACCATGGCGTCATAGTTCACAGCAACCTCAAACTCTTGGGCTTGAGTGATTGATTCTCTTGCCTCAGTTTCCTAATTAGTTGTGACTACAGGCACCCACCACAATGCTTGGCTGTTTTTAGAGACAAGCCTCGCTCTTGCTCAGGCTGGTCTTCAACTCCTGAGCTCAGACAAATCCACCCACCTTGGCCTCCTAGAGTGCTGGGATTACAGGTGTGAGCCACCATGTCTGGCACGTTTTTAGTTTTTGAATTTTAGCTTGTTTCCTTTTCAAATCTGCAATATTGCTTTCTGCTTTTTCCAATCCTTTACTGAAATTGTTTTGTTTTGATCTCCTTGAGCATACTAGTCATAGCAGTTTTATAGTCTGTATCTGCTGATTTCATTATCTGAACTACCTGTGTGTATAATTCTATTTACACTGTTTTTCTTGGTCTCCTGTTTCTTTGAGACCTGATTATATTTTATTGTGTGTTGGACATTGTATTTGAAAGCATTACTTCTAAAAATAATTCAAAGCCTAGAACAGTAAAAAAAAAAAAAAAAATCTGAAATCATTACAGTAGAACTTCTGTACACCCCAGGGACTATAACAAACGGGTCAACATAGGGAAATGGTCAACGTAAGGAAGTACTTTTCTGATTTTACATGCCTACCATACTGATATGTACATGTGCATGTCTGGTCTATGAAAATTAGGGCAATTTAAGGAGGTGGTCAATGTAGGGAGGTGATCAGCTGTGGAGGTGTAATGTATTAAGAGAAAAACAATCCATAGTCTTCATAGCTATCCCCAAATTTTAGTACAGAATAAAAAATCACCAGGCATACAAAGACAACTTGTGATCCTTTTGTGTCAGTATCCTGATGGAAAAAAAATTGTGACCTATACCATAATCAATAGAAAATACATAGTAGCCAGGCATCATGGCAGCTACTTGGGAGTCTGAGGCAGGAGCGTCACTTGAGCCCAAGAGTTTGAGATTGCTGTGAGCTTTGATGACACCACAGCATTCTACCCAGGGTGAAAGAATGAGGCTATGTCTCAAAACAAAAAATATATAGAAGCAGATGTACAATTGACACCTATGAAAGTGATTTTAAAATAGCTTTAAAATGTGTTAGAGAATTTATAGGAAAAGAGATAATGGATGAACAGATTTGAGATTTTCAGCAGAGAAGTAGAAATTTAATACTCAATGGTAGCTTTGCACAGTGGCAATATTGTAGTCAGTGAGATTTAACCAAGGCATGATTATTGCTAATTGAAAATTTCCCTAGTACCCTACCATGAAGACTTGCAATACAATCAGCATTGCAACTTTTGACAGCCTCTATGGAGACTGAATTTTTTTTTTAAAGGGAAGTGTCATAATGAAAAACACTAATCTGAAAGGGTGCAAGTCAAATCTATCAAGTATAGAACATAAATGTCTTAACACAATAATCAAGTAAATGAGGTAAAAGCTATATTAATTAGTTTGATACAAGCACTCCAAATTTTATTAAAAATCAACACATTGTACCCTACATATGCATAAATGTGTTCATGATCTATGTGTATATATGACTTAATAAAAAAAAAACTTAAATTGGAAACTAAAAAAAAAAATTAAAATTTTCATTGGATGGGCTTAACAGTAAACTGAACACAGCAGACAAACCAATAAAATTATGAAACCAAAGCACCTACAGAAAGAAAAATAGGTCTTTGATACCTGAGGTACATTATCAGTCTAATGTTCCTATACTTTGAGATACAGAAGGAGAGCACGTGAAGAGAATGAGGCAAGAGAAATATTTAAAGAAATAATGCCCCCCTGATTTCCCAAATTTGTTGAAAAACATTAATTTGCAGATCCAAGAAGTTCAGTGAACCCCAAGAAGAATAAATATAATACAGACCACATTTGGATACGTCACACTGCCCCAAAAGGAAGAAGAAAAGAAAAATCTTCAAAGTAGCTTCAGAGCAAGCAGATAGCATTACAGCAAATAAAACGGTGATGGCTAACCCCATGAGAAATGATGGGATGATGATATCTTTAAGGTATAAAGGTTAAACAACAAGAAAAGTCAACCTAAAACTTTTTATCTAGTTAAAGTATCACAGATAGGGTAGTGCCTGTGGCTGAAGGAGTAGGGCACCAGGAGCCCCATATAACAGAGGTGGTGGGTTCAAACCCCGTTCTGGCCAAAACCTGTAAAGTGTTAAGGCAAAATAAAAACCTTTTCCCACATGAACAAAAACAGAATTTGTTGCTCACAGACAGATGTTACTGGAATAGCAAATGCTTTAAGAAATTCTTTAAGCTGAAGGAAGATTATCCATAATGGGAAGCTGTATCACCAGAAAGGAATTTAAAACTTTAGAAATGATAGATACGTTGATAAATATGAAAACTTTTTTTTCTCTTTGAGACAGAGTCTCAAGCTATGGCCCTGGGTAAAGTGCTATGGCATCACAGCTGACAATAACCTTAAACTCCTGGGCTTAAGCGATTCTCTTGCCTCAGCCTCCCAAGTAGCTGGGACTACAGGCGCCTG